CGCCAACTGGTCATCCAGTGTCAGCCGTGAATCCAGGAGGACACCCAGATTGCGCACCCTATCCGAGGGGGCCAAAGTTTCGCCCCCTATAGTCAGCGATGGAACCAGCTGACTATGCCGAGGCGCCGGTAGCCACAGCCACTCGGTCTTGGAAGGGTTGAGCCTGAGTCTGTTCCTCCCCATCCAGACCCTCACGGCCATATATAACAAAATCAGATAGTAGTCCATTACTTTGGAAGGCAAAACATTAGGCCACCCCCCCAAAAAAAAAGTCCAAACAAAAAAACCTGGATCACTGACCATGATGACCTTAGGGGAAAATTTGTTTCTGTCATGGGGCAGTCTGTTAGTAGGAACAAAAACTCATCTGTACACCCTCAGAGCATTTCGTTGGGTGCAATTTTCAATGTGTCAGGTTGTCACCACTATGCTATGCTCTTGACCTATCAGAATCCAGAAACATGCCAACTTGCTCCCTTAATTTAGATCAGGGGTGCCAAACTGCCGGCCCACGGGCCAGATGTGTCATGACAAAACCGCGCCCACCCCATTGCGGGCAATGGAAAAAAACTTGCGATACGTCGCAACACGTCATGTGATGTTGCGAGTTTGACACCCCTGATTTAGATCAAAGCAGTTAAGAAGCCTTGTTGTCCTCAGGGTGCTTGACTGGCTCCACATTCCAGTTCAGCTTCTTTACCAGCCCCTCATGACCTGCTTAGCAGGGAAGGCTTGTGGGAGAGGATGACAAACAAGGCAGCTTTATGTCTGAATGTGGGAGCTGAAACAGAGGAAGCTAGCTCTGTTGGGTGTGTGCATATATCCAATCACACATGTTTGGTTTACATCTGTTTAAGAATATCATGTCAAGCATGGTGAGTGAGCATTTGACAAAAGACCATAATATTTTAATAGGAGTCCAGAAAGTTTAGTTTTCATCAGATTAATTAAGAGGTAACATGTCCACAGAACTAAATCCACGTTTGCCTAAAATCCAAGCTTGTGATAAATGACACCTTTCTACTTTGGTAACCATCCTAGTGTTTCCTTTGTTGTGAACTGTGATTGAAAAGAAGAGTCTTTTCAAGGCTGAGGCTGAGGCCCTTAATCTGCTGAGGCCCTGCTAACACAACTTTTGCTAGATATTTTTGTGTAATTAATTAGTCACATTTTTCTAATGGAACAAATCTCAATCCATTCTTTCTAAGTTGCTTTTCCTCTCCTATCCTGGAAATTTTTCAAAAAGCAAGTTACATCAGGGTGAGGTAAAAGGTTTCCCACATTTTACCCTCTTTGTAAAAAAGTATCTCAGAGAATATACTCAGTCTCTGTCTCAAACATGGAAAAATGGCCAAAAGAATGAGGAAAGCAAGACTATAGAAGATTTCTTTCTTCTAAAGAAGCAAATGTCTTTACCCTGCCTATCAGTTCTTCTCTCAGACCTCTGAGGTATAGACTCCTAAAACTCTGCACATGTCCTAGATCAGGGGTAGGCAACCCAAAACACTCAAAGACACACTTGGACCCATTTCCCACCGAAAACAAAACACAGGGAGCCGCAAAACCCTTTGGATATCTAAAATGAAGATAACACTGCATATATCCTTTTTTACCTGTGTGTGTGTGTGTGTGTTTGGGCCGACAGGGTGCACCAAACTCAAGATTATATATATATATATATATATATATATATATATATATATATATATATATATATATATATATATATATATATATATATATATATATATATATATTAAAAACAATTCTAAAAACCGACGACTGATTCCTGGGTGTGTTCATGATAAAAATGTATAAACAACAATGAGCACCAGGAAAAGTAAAAACCTTTAAAAAAGTTTTAATAAATAATGATCCAAGCTTTCACCGGCTCTCTGACGGCATCTTCAGGGATCTACGTAGGTCAATGGGAGGGCGCTTCTTATAGCCAAGCCAC